GGGGGGGGAAGAGTGAAGGGTTTGGCGTGTGAATAGACGGCGAGAAGAAAAAATAGAAGATCCCATTAAGAGGAGGCAGAGAGGAATCCAGCAATTCCTTTCTTCACATTCCCTTCCCATTTTCGAAATTCTCAGGAAGATGGTCCTTGAGAGTTGTTTCTTCATCAGAAGGCATCGAATCATGATGCATTGAGTATTTCTTTCTTGCAAGTCCTTTCCTTCGAATGGGATAATGTATGACTCGGTATGTTTGGTAGTGATCTTTCACCTAACAGATACCGGCTTTTATACTGGCAGATTTAACCTATTGAGACCTGGTTCTCCCATGCTGTTGCGTTGAGCTTTGGTACACGATCGCAACCCGAGGGGATCAGCAAGATAAAGGAGAACTGTGGAGGATAATGCCGAATGAGCATGGGGGAAACAATGGAGCCGGACCCATTCGAGGATTATCTAGCGAATGCTGCATTAATAGTAACAGCTCCTCAGGCTCCACTCATCCGGAAAATGGATTGTCTTTTGAGTCCGATCGTTCCAGTCCGATTGACACAATCCGGAGAAACTCACCCGCTTCCGTTCTTCTCATTTTTGTGGTCCATAGGTCCTGGGAATCGGAGTTCTCGCGAGTGAATCCAAATTTTTCTCATCTCAAGTATGGAATTAATTGTTGGCAGCAGGACTTATTTTGCCGAAAGTTCGATTCCTTGAAATTTACGGAGGTAACACTTTGATTACGATCGCATTTGAAAGAGGAGACCGACCTTTAAATCTGAAAAGCAACGATACTAAAATCGAAAACAATCTCACTAAAATTGCAATTTTTTTGGGAAACAGCGCACGTTTTCGTCTGCCGCTAAAACTGCAAGCTCAGAGAAACCGAATTAATACCTGTATCATTTGTATAATGCTCCTCAATTCCTCAGAAAATGCAAGAAGTGCAAAGTTGGAAATTGGAAAATCACGGAGACAAGCTACCGTTTCCCCGGTCTGCCTGATTCCAGCGTCATAGCAAGAAACCCCATCGATTCTCCATTTCGTACCCTCAAGGAAACATTTCAGTTCAACTCGGTCTCATGCGTTTGCTTCGAATGATGAAATTTTGAAGATAAAAATTTTCCTTTCAAAACGAGCGCATAAAGATGAATCGACTTCCTCTTCACCCTTAACCGGTTTGATTCTCGCGAGCGGTTCTCGACAGGAGCGTTGGGTGATAAAAAAAAAATTGCCTGGTATTCCTTTTTAAAGACATTACTCTGAAATTTTTTTTTTTCTTCGATGTGTAGGGAAAACTGTTGAGAGAAACTGTGTAGATGGATTATGGCCATCACTTCTTTCTTTCCCATAATAATAAATAAATAAATAATACTTCACTACGTGTCAGTATTTTTCATGTTTAGCGCCACTTAGGCCAAGGAAGGACAAATCTTGCGACTGCAGGACTGTTAACGAGAGACAAGATTTCTATACCTAGCAAATGAAGGAAATCTCAAGGTCGTCTGTGTGACCTAGGAGAGGGGAGGGGGGGAAAACTTGCTGAGGGTCTCATAAAAAGGAGAGTGGAGGCGTAAATCCGCCAGTGGAACAACAGCCGTTGCTTGCTTTGCTTCTCTGTTCGCTGCTCTCCCTTCTCAGCTTCTTCACCATGAAGACCTTCCTCATTGTGAGTTTCATCCTCCAAATCATGGCATCGAGTGATCTCATTGCATGGAAGTGAAAGTTACTATGCTTTGTTTGTAGACTCTCGTTCTGTTGGCCGTTCTCTTGTCCCTGGCGGAAGCCTATTACGGAGGATATGGTGGATACGGCGGAGGATATGGTGGATATGGCGGCGGTTACGGAGGATACGGAGGATATGGTGGATATGGCGGCGGTTACGGAGGATATGGTGGATATGGTCGTGGATTTAGAGGTTATGGCGGCTACTGGTGAATGATGGCATTTTGGATTCTGGTTTTTATCTTGTTTGGTGCTCGTGAATGAAACTTTATATAGAGCAACTTCTGCCTACTTATTTCCTCCCATTTCCCGCTCACACAAGGGTTAATATTCCTATTGCATTAGTCTAAGACAGGGGTGTCAAACAATACTGCCCGCGGGCTGGATTCGGCCCGCGGAGGTGGTTCATCCGGCCTGCCGTCTGTTAATTTCCGTTTGGATTGACTGTTAGCAAAAATTTCGGTGGAGAAAGCATGGGTGCGGCCCGCAGGCATCTGCAATGCAAGGAATGCGGCCCGCCGACCGATTTGAGTTGGATACCCCTGGTCTAAGAGGTCTTTGTCCACATGACATAGGTCAACATCGTTTATTTTTCCTAGCCTCTCACGTACAACCCCCCCCACCCCCCCCCCACCCCCCCCCCCCCNCCCCCCCCCCCCCCCCCCCCCCCCCCCCCCCCCCCCCCGGTCTGCGTCCACTCGGATGTTATGCTATCGTACCAATCGATAGGCTATGGTAGCG